ACTCCCGTAATTCCTCAGCCACCAAAAAAATAAGTTTTCCAACTTCTACTCTATAAACCATCTTTTCTTGTTAAGAATGTCAAACTCCTTAATCCTAGTTTAGGGATGGTTGTGTATGTTCAGGATGGCACATGAATTATAATCAAAATTTCATCCGTGTTTGTTTCCCCTCTGTTCCCCTATTTTTCACCTGAGAATGATCCCCAGGCAGCTTCATTTAAAAATGAAGCAATTAACATTGGTGCTGTCTCTACCTTCTTAAATGTTGAGTGTCTCTTTGTAACACTTCCCAATCCCATTCACTTTCATTCCACTGCACTTGTCTTGATTGGGTATCCAATGCAGTTGGAAGTTGGGGAGCCCCATGTTAATCAGGATGGAGTCTGTGATCTGAAAGGGAAGAATGCCTCGAATCTGCTTCAGCAACACTGCTGGACAATGGCTTTGGCTGCTCAGACACAACATAAAACCACTTCTTTTATCGGGAGGTGGGTTTTTGTCACATTTAGTACCAATACAAACCACCCAAGATATTTCCATCAACTCCTTTGACTAGTAGTCCCCACTTCAGGCAGCATTATGCATTTTAAACATTAGCCCCAGAGAGGGTAAATGTTTCTGAGTCCTACTTGTACTTATCATTAGCAGCAAATAAAACAAAGCGGTTCCACCCTCCTACATTTTCCTGTTGAAATGAAGAAATCTTTGGATTAACCAACAATGGGCTAATCTGGAAGGTGTCTGCTCTCAACTCAGTTCTGGTGCTCAAAACAAGTTCCCAGACTCAGAATTCTTGAATTCAGTTGGTCAGTATCCTTTTGTGCTAAATTAGTGAGGAGAGAGAGGACTTGCCATGTCCCCTTGGCTGTCACTTTGTGAAAGGTTGGGGTGGGGGGTAAGATTCATCAATCCACAAAGCCTTCCACATTACCAGAGCATGGGGAAATCAGGGCTATGGCTTGTGTAGAAGGCCTTCATGGACTGATGTGTCTACAGGCCTGCCACCTTATATGACAGAGAGAATGAGGCAAGATCACTCTTGCTTTTCATGGGTTTAGCCAACCTGATGCTGAACAACTGAACTGGGCTAATGTCTTTTATATCAGATTCCCATTAGCAGATCTACTTGGCCACCACACTTTAGAAAGGATGTAGCCAAACAAACAAGTTCAGAGGAGAGCGACAAGGATGAGCAGGAGACTAGAAACCAAGCCCTATGAATTAGACATGTTTAGCTTCAGAAAAAGACAACTGAGGGGAGATATGATGGTACTTTTCAAATACCTAAAGGATTGTCATACAGAGGAGGGGCAGGATCTACTTACTCTTGATCATCCCAGAGTGCAGGACACGTAATAATAGGCTCAAGTTACAGGAAGCCAGCTCTTGGCTGAATATTAGGAAAGGCTTCCTAACTGTTAGAGCAGTACAACAGTGGAACCAATTACTTTGGGAGTGGTCCAACACTGGAGGCATTAAAAAAATTGGACAACAGCCTGTCAGATCTACTTTGATTTGGATTGCTGCACTGAGAAAGGGGTTAGACTAAAAATCCTTATAGGCCCCTCCCAACTCCATTATCCTAGGAAGCAACCCCGACGCTAAAATCAGTCAATTCCTGCATTAGCCAGCTTTGCCTTCTTTACTTGTACCAGGAGTTATAGGCCCCTCCCAACTCCATTATTCTAGGAAGCAACCCCAACGCTAAAATTAGTCAATTCCTGCATTAGTCAGCTTTGCCTTCTTGTACCAGGAATGTTGTTTAATTGTTCATGAGCATCGAGTGTACATTTGCAAAAACGTGGAACAGAACCATACACAATTCAAATGTGTACTCCCTGGGAGTTGTTGGAACCAACCATTTAACATCAGCATGATATATTTTGGGGTAGGGAGGAAGTGACTAGACACATGCACATTACTTATTGAAACTGTCTCTTTTGTTTTCCAACCCATAAAGTTAATCTGAAATGCTAGTCGGATGCATGAAGTCTTAGCACATATTAGAACAGGGGTGGATTGCAAACACTTTAGAATGCAGTGTCTCATTTTATGGATCCACACACTTCTAATATTAACATTAGACCTCTACCATGTCTGTTGTCATCAACAAATCATAGTAATGTTATATAACCCATCCTTCTATTCAGCCTGTACTACAGCAGTATTAAGGTACTTGATTTCAGCATCCTCATTTTTCCTGTTTTCCCCCTAGTTCTCCTGCATGCAAAAAATATGCAAGAAAGTAATTTATTTCAAATTTCACCATGCAGATCTTTCACCGTTTTTTGAGCCTAAGCTTACAAGGGCTCACTCTTCAGACTTTGTTTATTGCGTCTATATGCCTCCTTTTGTCCACCCAGATTAATTATCCTCCAAATAAGCCTGTGAAGTTGGTTAAACTTTAAACTAGAAAAGTTATTTATAAAAGGAATACATTAGCCCCCAGAGTAATGCATTATTGGTAACACTGATATGTATCCACATATACAGTATATCTCACATTATTATATCATATATTACTTTTTCACATGAGGGAGGAGAAGCTGCCTTGAAACATTCTGCTTATACACACCCACCTTAGAGTAAGAACACTTGGAGGAAAGTCATTAGTTGGCTATACTAGAGTGGTCTAGTATGACCAGATAGGCGGGATAGAAATTAATTAAATAAATAAATAAATAAATAAATAAATATTTTAGAGCTCGTGTGTTGGTTTTTCTTGGTCTTATTGACATCTGATTCATAATTGTAATCCACACAGGATGTTTGAAATTTTTACCTGTATGGATATTATATTGCATAATCACTGACAAGAAACAATATTTACCTGGGAAATAATTAACAATATACATTCTGATTTTTTAAAAAAGGAAAGGAAAGAATGTTTGCAGGCTGCCTTGAGCACTACATTGTATAGGAAGGCCAGAGTAGAAATATAAGAATGTATCTAAAAATGCTGTTTAAAAGGAACTGTGGAGATCCAGAAGACTGACATTACGATTCACACTCATTAAATCACTCTTGAATTGTATCTTCATTACACTATTATAATTACCCTCCTAAAGGAAATAAGTTACTCATTACTAAGGAAAAGGGAAAATAGATTGCCTTAAAGCATTTGTTGCCATGGTTTCCAGGTTTGGATGTCCCCATAGTGCTGTGCCTACCTGTTCCTGGTAACACACTGATTTGTGTTGCATTTTACTTCTTTTTGTGAATGTTACTGGAGTAGAACTTGCTGAATATTGCAACATCAGAACGAACCAGCATTGAAAGTTTGGCTTACTAATGGTTGGCACTGACTTTTGGGTACTTCTTTATTTGTCCACATACTTAGGATGAAATATGCATAATTGTGGAAGGATAATCAAAAAGCAAAGAATATTTTTTTAAATGAGTGAGGAAAGATGTGGACTATTAGTATATGTCTTTTACTCTGAGGTGTCATCAATGATTTCTTGATATTGGGGACAGAAGGACATGGTTGTACCACACCTTAGGGTTGTTTTTTTAATATGTAAAACTGAGAAGTGTAGTTTTCCTCCATGTATTCAAAGGAAAACAGACATCTACCCCTGCTAAACTTTGGGATGTGTGTTTCCTTCCTGTGCCAAGAAAATATTATCAAATAATATTTGTCGTGTCTATGGCTCTATAGAATTTGGAATTTTATTTATTTTATTTATTTATTTTAAAAAATATTTTTACCCCACCTTCCTCCTTAAAAGGACCCAGGCCAGGTCTTCAAGCCAAACATGCAGAGTTTTGCTTACATAACCTCAGTAATTTCCACAACCATCCCACGAGACAGGTCAGTAGTAGTATCCCTGTGATTGCAGAGAGCAGGTATACAACCACCTGGCGAGTTTGTGACAGAGCTGTGGCTTGAACAACAGTCAGTAGACCATCTTGAAATGGCAGGAATGTGTTTGAAGGCATCTGGAGATGTAGCCACCCAAAACCTTTTTTGGAGTCTAGACATAAGCTGTTGGTCATTGGCAGACAAATGTTGTGCCAGATGGATTCCTTCACAGCAGCATCAGTAGCCTTGAAAATTATAGAGAAAAGGAAGATAGCTGTAAGATACATGCAACCCAACTGGTCCAGCTACATCATAGTTCTGGTGTCCTCATGGAATTCGACTCCTTCTCCTTTGCTCCTCCAGTTTGCAGAGCTGCAGTCTAGATAGGAAAGCTGAGTTCCTTCTCCCCAATATGGTTGAGGAATCTTTTCCCATAATCTCTTGCCATTAGCTGTGCTGATGGGAATTCTAAGGGCCAGAGTCACTCCCTGCCAATCCAAAGTCTGACCTGTGTAGCTTGTTGCTGCCATGTGCCATCATCTTGTCTCCAACTTGTAGCAACACTAAGAATGGGTGACCTCCAAAATGTCTCATTATTAACAAATCTACTTAGCTCTTGCAAACTCAAGTCCATCATTTCTTTATGGAATCAATCAATCTAATATTTGGAATCCTCTTTTCCTGCTGTCTTCAACTGCTCCTGGCATTATTATCTTTTCCAGTGAGTCGTCTCATGACATACCAAAATTACAACCTCAGTTTCGTCATAACAAAACTGGGTAAAAGTAAAGGAAAGAAGAGGGAAGCTCTTATACATGGTTGGATACAGGAAGAGGAGATTCCTGTTTTTAAAATGAGCAAGCAATATATGAAGCCACCAAACAACACATTTTCAATTACTATAGAGTCTATGGCCTATTTGCAATATTTACAGGAGGTTTTCTTTAAGCAGCTTGTGATATTCGAGCCTACCTAGCTCTAAATGGAAATATTTCTTCCTTCAAAAAAATGACTGTTTTATCTCACAGATGAGAGACATGTTATCTCCAGTCCAACAGCGGTTGTACGGGAAATATTTCTTCCTTCAAAAAAATGACTTATCTCGCAGATGAGAGAAATGTTATCTCCAGTCCAACAGTGGTTGTACCAGACTTCCATGAGCTCATGGTCTCCTCTTTATTCATTCCTTGCCAAGCTCTTCACTGAAGGCATCACCAACAAGCTCATGGCTTGCTTCACAGATGAGAATATGAGGGATGCAGTCCTGGTGCGGGTCTATGGCAGGAAGACAGAACTGATTGTGGACCGGGCAAATGAGCTGCACAATTTCCAGGTGCTTCAAGGTCATGGCTGTGCTCCCAATCTCTACTGCACCTTTGAGAATGGTTACTGTTACGAATTCATGCCAGGGAAGGCACTGGGACCAGAACATATCCGGCAGCCAAATATATTCAGGTATATGTGGATCGGGAAGGGGTTGTGTTTGATTTCAGAAATAGAAAGGTAACTTTCATATAACTGTCCAAAGTGGAAATATGTTTAAGCTAAGATGCATAACCTGTAGCCTGTATGTACCCTCAAGGTCTTGAATTCTGGCTTCTGTTTGTGCCCTGATTCCTCTGCTACCACAAACCTCCCACATTCTCTTCCTACCCACGCATTTCATTTCCCCATGCTACTAATTACAAGATAGTAATGGCTGAGGTGTGTTTTTGTGTGTGTGTGTGTGTGCGCGCGCGCGTGCATGCATGCACACATGCATTTTGGCTTACATGTGTGATCCTTGTGCCAGCAGAATATGGAACCACCAAGCAACCACACTTTAAAATATACATGAGCCTGGATTAAGTAACTACAGTACATTCATGCAACTCCTAGTTGCAAGAGGAAGAGCAACTATCTTTTTCAGGCTCATGTGAGGGGGCATTTGACACCTCCTTGCACAAGTAGTGTCCTTTCTCTCCTTCTCTCTCTTCATAGCATTTCTCCTTGGCTCTCTTTTTTAAGTATGCCGATTTGGGCAGCTGCTCATTGTTGGTGTCTTGCTGATCTCCATCTTTGCTCAAGTGCCCATTATTTTCCTAAGGAACCAGCACACTTTTTAGGCTCCTGTTTAATAATGCACTAGTTGCTTGGAACAGCTGGGGCTTCAGGAAAGGAAGAGAGGGGCCGGGTAATGAGATCAGCAAGCAGCTGCCCAGGCACACATGGGTGAGACAGGGAAGGCAATCCCATAGAGCAGCACAGGAAGTAGGGCTTTCCTGGAATAGGATGTAGGCTCCACAGAGCAACTTGCTCTGCTTCCAGTTTGGCTTTGTCATGCTTCACGCTAACACTGGAGAGGCCAGAGTGCCTCTCTGTTGTTTCATATTATAGTTGAAATAAAACCTACCCATCCCCAAGTTGAAAAAAAAAACATGCTGGTTGAAAACAATGAGAGTTGTAGTCAAACACCTAGAGGGCACCAAGTTGGTAGAGGCTGGTCTAGGAAATGTACACATTATAGACAGAGATTTGCTTCTTGAATTTTGAATATATAATAGGTTCTTCAGCTATCGGATCTCTTATTACAGTATTTCGAACTAGACAAGTCCTTCAGTAGTAAGCACATGGAGTATTGATGGTTACAGAGTTTATATTGGGCATTACAATCTGGGTTTGTTCCATGTTTATATAATAGTATGAAATGTTTCCATATATAAAAACTATAATATGTAGCAGGTATACAAGATTGAAAGTACGGCGGAAATTATTATTAAATTATTTTAATTTCCCTAGTTTCACATTATTTACAGAACTATGCCACCTGATTGTACAGGTCCCTTGTATCAGCCTTTGCTGACCTGTACTCTCCAGGTGTGATGGGAGTACAGATCTGGCTGACTCTAGGCAAGAATTATGGACATTGTAGTCAAACACATCTGTAGGGTACCAGGTTCAGGGAGGCTGCCCTACAGGTAAGTGGTAGAGAACTATTGGAACACTGATTTGCTGTATAAAGGAATCAGTGCACCAGTCAACTGATATACTAGATATCAGTAATCTAGGATCCAACATTGGAGGTAGTAGCATATTTTATTAAAATCAGTAGTCAGTATTATGCCTTAAAATACTTTAGGTCAGGAATGCCAGATCACATATGAAGTTCATGGGTGTGGCCTGTCTGGCCCACAAGCACCTTTAGCTGTTGTCTGTGATCAATGATAGCAGAAAATAGGGCATTTACCTTTAAATATGCTGCATAGCTGTTTTTTGCAGGCAGGAAAGCTGCTGCATATAGAGGTCTGCTTTGTGGACAGGGAAGTTGTGCTGCTCAAACATTCTCCTGAACAGATAGTTTTACCTGGATATAAACTGCTTCATACGCTTGGCTGGAAAATGCCCAAATTGGTGAGAATTGCATCTGGCACTGCCTGGCTTGCTTTAGCAATAGCTACACCATCTCATGCTCTTTGCTGCACTCTTAATAATAGCTTTTTCCAAAATTGGAATTTGCCCCCTAGACGAAAGAGGTTTCTTCACTCCTGCCTCAAGTTGAGAAAGACTGTTATATATGAAAGGCATATTTTGCTCTTTGGAGTCAGCTACAAATTCTATATGCTAGTCTTCAGCAATACTTTTCTTTGGCATAAAATTTGAAATCTCTATTACTTTGACCCAGTCTCCCAAAGTAATATGTACTCACTGAACAGTTCATTGAACAGTTTCTGTCTTTGTGATTGATCTTAGGCTGGTTGCCCAAGAAATGGCTAAAATGCACAGGATCCACACAAATGGGAGTCTCCCAAAACCGTGTCTCTGGCATCGACTATATAAGTACTTTAACATCGTGAAAAATGAGTTTGTCAGGAAGGCATCAAATCTCAGGTAAAGAAATCAAAAGCTAATTTCCAGTAAAGGCATTACTTACCTACCCAGTGGCTTTGTTCTATTGTGTTGTACTTGCTGGGCAAGGATAGTGTGCAAGACACCTGGCCAAGCAATGAGTTAGAAAAAGAGAATTCATTAGAGCAAATTAAAAATGACAACTACACTGAAGAATGGCACAGCCATGATTAGATCCTACACTTGACCACTGAAAGTTTGCCATAAAAAGACTTAAATTTTTCTTGTGGCCTTTCTTCGTGTAAGCCATGACTGGGCAGATCATTCTGCCTGAGGCCAAATACAAAAGCTATATTTCCCCCTCCCTTTTTTGAAACCACACAATTTAGCAGTTTAGGCTCAAAACAGATTACAAGTTGAAAGTTGTATTGAATACTTGGGGAGTTTGTTGGGTGGTTACAAAAAACAAACTGCATACCATTGTCATTTAAGAAGCATTTCTATTGATGGTGAAATGTTGTAATAAATGCCTATTTTAGGGAGAAAAGCTGCTTGCTTTGAAATTTATAGAAATTTTGTGTGTGTTTAACCTTTTCCTGATATAGATGCATTCTGCTCTCCAAAGGAGATGTATATATTACTAGAGAAGAGTATATGCAGGACTTTTCCTGCAGGTTGGGGGAAAAAAATAACTTTTTAATGTTCTGCATATTGCCCATCTGGTATTGCATCCCAGAAAAATTTAGACACTTATAGACGCCCAGGAGCACACCCTATCTTTTAAAATGGCCTTGTGGAAAAGTTTATCACATTCTGTTTATCTTGTGCCTGGAAAGACTGAAGGCTGTTCTGTTATTCTGCAGCTTTTAAATGGTGCCATATTCATAAATAAATGCCCACCCTTATCATGAATGTGTATGTCACACTGTTGGTTGCTACATCTTCATAACCTCCTTTCCTCTCTGATTCCCCAAATTGCTGTCAGTGCACATCCTGTTTTGAAAGCTGTTCAGGTTAAAGATTGCTGATATTTCTCTTGGTTCTTCCTACAACTCCAGAGAGAAATTTTCCCAGTACAAAAATTCAAGAAGTTGGACCTTGAAAGCATTCCTTAGCCCTCCTGAGTTTTTAGATGTGATAAATATGGTTAGCTTGGGTTTTTCCACATCAGAGCATCTGGTCTGAAGCCACCCACCCTTTTAATTTTTTTTTCCCTCTGGATCCCATTTAAGTATATGGTAGGAGTAAGCAAAGTGTAGCTCATGGGCCATCTGCACCTCCCTTTCAGGGCTCAGTTATAGCTCCCCAGCAACTTGGGGATCCCACTAGCCCCCCCCACACACACATCCAAAATGAGGCCAAGAAATTTCCTTGTGCCCTTTAGGAGTCATTGGAGGCTTGCAGGGGGAAGAACCCTTGTCCCAAAACCTCCAAAATAGAAAGAAAGAAAAATGTCAAGGTTGTGGGTATGGCACACAGCTATGGGGAGCCTGGGGCATTTGAAGGGGGGGGCAGATCCTGGAAACAATTATTCACCCATGACCTTATAAGGTTCATTATGTGACTTACACAATTGTGATGTGGCCTATATTTCTTTCATATTGTGTTTATGGCCGTAACAAAACAAACAAAAAAAGTTTGAGAATGGCTGTTTTACAGCATATTTGCCATCCACTAACTTCTTTTTACCAGCTTCCCTTTCTGGGTCATTTGTAAACAGATGCATCCATCATGGCAGCATTTTGTGAGTAGGCACTCCACTCCTCCCCACAGAAGCCATTTTGTGTTCCTCAGTGTACCAAACCTGCCTACCAACCCAAAGAGGTCGGAGATTCAGTCTTAGTAGGCCTTTCTGGTACTTTCAGTGCCTCAGTTACGCAATCAGAGAAACCTGAATTTGTTTGTTTGGGGAAGATGGTATGTTGAATAAACCAAGTGCTTGCACAGAAATATATAACAAGAGTATTTCAGAAATGCACTCTTGCCCACTTTTGGGTCCTGATGCAAAGTCTGTATAAGCTTGTGTTAGTGTTCAAATCTTACCATATAGGTGGTCATTCCAGAGTAAGGTATTATTGTGTAATTGCCTTTCCTCATTGGGATGCCAGGTGTCTTTGCATTCTCTAGTTTGCCCACCATTTTTTTTCTTTTTATCTGATAGAAAAAAAGTCTGTTAAGGAAGACAAGGGAGATAATTTTATTATGTATTCGACACACCAATCTTCATTGATTTTGAGTGCTAAATGAGGGTGGGTGGGTGTCTAGTTATTACTTGAATGGAAAACCACCAAAGAATACTAGGGATCTCCAGATAAGACTAGGAAAAGGTTCCCTCCTGAATTTCTGGAGAACTATTACCAGCTGGAGTTGACAGGACAATTAGATAGACCAAGGTTCAGACTAAGTTTATGTCATGTTCTTAAGTTGCTGGTATTGCTAGGAACGGTCTGTCTGGAAGCATCGGAGAGCTACAGGCATGCTGTTTTTATAGCTGCTTAGTCCAAGATAGAAGGTAAAGTGAGCTAAGAGCCTCCAAATACCTTCTCCTTTTCAGAGGGTACCAACCTATGATCAGTTTCTTGGTTATATAAAAAAATTCAAGACTGAAATGTGGCATGATATCAAGTCTGTAAACAGGGTGGGGAGTTTTTGGTCCTTTGTTTTGTTTTTGTTGGGCAGAGAATTGGGGGATGCAACCTGTAGTCCAAAACATCTAGAAGACCAAAGGTTTTCTCTCCCTGCCTAAAATAATATGCTATTTGTATAGGAGACCTCCCAGCACATTGGTTTCATGGCATTTAGGAAGCCTGTTGGGCATGATCTAATCTAAGCTAGGGATCATAGTCAGCTCATGACTGAGCAGGCTGTAAACAATCTTTGAGTTAGATGCTTGCATTGCCACCCTGATGCACAAACCACACCAGCTCACAAATTACTAATGGCTATTTGGGGCTAAAAACTAGAATCTTTGCATCTTTCAGTGGTGATTGTTCAGGAAGGAAATGTCACACATGTGTCTGTTTTTGGTCGGTGATTGTTCAGGAAGGAAATGTCACACAGGGTTGCTCGGTCATGTGTCTGTTTTTGGTTAACTGGGAGTTTGAACATTTACTGGTTAGTGGGCTTCGGATACAACACAGAATTCAAGTGGATCTGTGTGTATTTGTGGAAGTGTTTTACATTGAACATTAGTGGAAGTTAAGTGTTATCTGTGTGTATTTGTGGAAGTGTTTTACACTGAACATTAGTGGAAGTTAAGTGGGATAATCTAAGATACCTTGTGATACCTCCGAACTGGAGCTCCTCCGTTGATGATAATGGGAGTTATAGTCCACTACCTCTGCAGGGTGCCAAATTGGGGAATGTCATCCCAAATGGTGCCTTTCTTCAGAATAAGTGAACTCTACCTTACACATCTTGCTAACGAATTGGGGAATGTCATCCCAAATGGTGCCTAAAACTCTACCTTACACATCTTGCTAACTTTAGAAAATACATTTCTCACACTGAGAAAGGTTTAATGTCTGCAAGTGGACATGGCGTCACTTTGTCTTCCTTCCCAAGCCTCCATCAGGAAGTGCACATTCCCAGTCTAGAGGTGCTAGAAGAAGAGATTCGCTGGATGAAAGAACATCTCTCTCAACTTCGATCTCCAATAGTCTTTTGCCACAATGACCTTTTGAGCAAGAACATCATCTACAACAAGGCAGAAGGTTTGTTATCTTACTCTCACAAGTGCATAACACTTTGTAAAATGCACAGATCTTTTTCTCACTGAAAATGCCTTCAAAAGAAACAAATGCCAGAGAAGTCCCCTTGCCTATTTAGGAAGCAACTACTCTATCTGAAAACCCACTTCTACCTCTGTCTTTATTTTTTTCAGGTCGTGTCCGGTTCATAGATTACGAATACACTGGTTACAACTATCAAGCCTATGACATTGGGAATCACTTCAATGAGTTTGCAGGTGAGTTGAGCTTTGCAATATTTTCTGGACGCTGGAAATTCCTAGACGCCCTTGATCTTACTGAAGCAGGGCTTGGAACTGTTAGGACAAGTGCATTAACATTAGATCATTAAAGAAGATTATTTTTTTAGCTTAAAACCAATGAAGATTAATTCTGATTAAAAATATTTAAATTGCTAAATAATGGAAAAATAGCTTAAAATTGCTAAAAATTAACAAACACCCCCAAATCCACCCTGCAAAAATAACAAGACTAAAATAATGTGAAACATTAATCATTACTCAAAAAACTAACACCTTTAGCATTTCACAGTAGGTGGTGAACCTACTTTTTTTTGGATATTTGAACTACAGCTCCCATAATTCAATTATCATTTGCCATGTGAGTTAGGCCTTCTACAAGTTGAGGGCGAAATGTTCCCTACAGGTGTTCCTACAAGACTTCCTAACATGTTTAAATCTTTCAAGGAGACCTAAAGCTTCCTCTAATGTCAGTTTGATCCTAGATCAACCTATAACAGTGATGGCAAACCTATGGCACACGTGCCACAGCTGGCACGCAGAGCCCTCTTTGCAGGCACACCAGCCATAAGTTGCCGGATCGCTGCTCCCCCCCCCCAACATCCAAACCTGAGGAGGTGGCTGCAGCCACCATGTTGGCACCCCAAGAGGTGGCAGGCCAGGATCGGGAGCAGCTGGCACTGGCGGCTGATCCAGAGTGGGGTCTCGAGGCACCTCCATGCCTGGGATTCCCCCTTCCACCACCACTTCTTCCAGGCACACCAGCCATAAGTTGCCGGATCGCTGCTCCCCCCCCCCAACATCCAAACCTGAGGAGGTGGCTGCAGCCACCATGTTGGCACCCCAAGAGGTGGCAGGCCAGGATCGGGAGCAGCTGGCACTGGCGGCTGATCCAGAGTGGGGTCTCGAGGCACCTCCATGTCTGGGATTCCCCCTTCCGCCACCACTTCTTCCTCCACTGTGCACTGGGTGTTGTTTTATTTTTTCATTTTGGGCACTCGGGACCAAAAAAGTTCGCCGTCTCTGACCTATAATATTAGCATTTTATTGACTGCAAAGTGCACTGCTCTTATTCAATCAGTGCCGTGGCCATTGCTGACCTTCCTGCCCCTTCCCTCCTATGCTGCTGCAAGATGCCCATTACTAGAGCCAATAAGTATTGGAAAGAATGCAGGATAGATCTTGAATAATACTAACCATCTGTTTTGGTTAAATACCAACCTGTGGCACTGTTGTTGTTGGAGTGCAACTCCCCTCATTCATTTTGTGACTGATAGGAACTGAAGTAAAGTTGCAAGTTCCTATGCTCACTCTATGTAGCAGTTTTCAAAACTTATGCCATTATTTTTTAAAGCACAAACTGCTGATGAAAAAACAATGTTCATATTAATACATAGTAAAAGTAGTTACAGTAAAAGGTAAATTTAGGCCGTTGTAAGATTATTTCCTTCCTGCTGTCCTCTCTATTTGTGGCTCAAAGGCTGGATTAGAAGCAAGCTCCTTTTGAAGGACCTGCATGTAATTATTCTGGTCTCTGTATTAATGCTCTGCCGAGCTTATATAAGACAGGAAATCACTGTATGGCTAATTATGTGTGTTACCATTACAGTTGTGTTCTGTTTCTATGGGATCATAAAAAATAAAAAGGGTCATACTGGATATTTTTCAGAAGAGATCTATAATAATTAGTGCAGATGATTGAGTGGGCGAACTGGATGGAAAACCAACTCACTTGAAACATAGTGCACTTCCAGACAAGCCTTTTGTTGTGCAATCACTGTGTCTTATTCATAGCATTTATATGGAGGGATGGAAGGAGTTCTAAACAACATTACCTTTCATTCTTAGCACTTCTGTGTTTTCCTACCAACTCTTCGTCACTTCTTAAATGCCATTAAAGAGAGAAAGACTTAATAGCTTTATGCTTTGTATTGCTAGGGGCTGTCTCTCTCTCTCTCTCAAAGATGGGAAAAGCTGTTTTTGGACAGGAGGAATACAATTCTATAAATATCTCAGCCATTATGTTTTTTAAAAATAACTTTTCTAATTCATAAACACATATATACATATACATATATATACATACACACATATATACATATAAATATATATACATATACATATATATACATACATATACATACATACATATACATATACAAGCAGTATATATATATATATATAAACATGATCACACAGTTTCTTTTCTTGTAGCAACCTGCATTATGGAAAAGATACTCCATAGGCTTCCTGTTGTCTTTTACACTGTTTTCTCCTTGTAGGTACTGAGCATCTTTGCTAAGTTCCATTCCTCAAGATTCAGAGCCAAAGCTTTTTTGGACTACAGATTCCAGAAGCCCACAGCCAGTGTGGTCACTGGCTATGCTGTTTAGGGAATTCTGGAATTTGTAGTCCAAAAGTTATCAAGCTTTTTTTTACAAAACTGTCAACAAATCAGCAACTACTAGAGGAGTTAACATTTCCTTCTCCAAACACTTGTGTAGACCAGATAGGCGGGGTATACATCAAATAAATAAATAAATACATAAATTTAAAGTAGTGCAACTCGAATTATGGGTCAGTTTAATAATATCAGTAATCTATCAAGGGAGACAAACCATTATATTAACCAACATGTTCCCAGCATTCTTACTGAGCTCAAGATCATATGTTTAAGAGGTTCGGTTCTTATACATTCCTGAGCTTGTGTCACATCCCATCCCCTGTTCATTGCCAACCTCTATTTCTAGGGCTGAATGAGGTGGATTACAATCTATACCCGTGCAAGGAGCTCCAGCTTCAGTGGCTGAGGTACTATCTGGAGGCCTACAAGGGACTAAGTCAGGAGGACCAGGGAGAAGGAAGCAAAAGCAGAGGCGAAAATGGAGCTGTGTGTGAAGAGGAACTCGAGAGCCTCTATGTGCAAGTGAACCAGTTTGCTTTAGTGAGTATGTGTGTTATGAAGAAAGGGCACAGGTAAAATAGGAGAGAAAACAGCAGACAAATAACAGACATCAGGTATATTTCTATATTTTTATAGTTCATGTCATTCAGAGTGCCACTTCTATAGTTTTATTAGCTCAAGATGGCTTTGTCACTATATTAAACATAGAAGTTTATTTTAATCACATTCATTTTTAAGCCCACCTATTTTCTATTCCATAACTATTTCCTATACAGGCTACAGAACTTTTTAAAAACCCTGTACTATTCTGCAGCACAACCTCTCTCTGTCCCCATCTCTTGATTTCTTTCTTTGTCTCTCCCTCTTCACTTATTTGCCTGCCCCTCTGCCCCTCCTATGTTTCAGTTCATTTTGCCTCTTCCTGGCACTTTTAGCTCCCTGTCCCAGCATAGGTCAGCAGGTCTATAGATTTCTTAATTTTTAAAAGTTTTCATCTTTCATTTACCCGCATATTCCTTTATACTCCCATTTTCCTGCTTTTCCTCTTTTGTTCTCTCTTTTGTTGCTCCAGGAGGAAGTTAAGATGTTTTAGGTTCTGGACTTAATGATCTTACAGGTGTCCAGATTTTGGATGGAAGTGCATGTCGTTAATTTTTTTTCTTATTTGGGTGGGTGGGGTTTGGGCAGCTCTTTAGATCGTGGCAAACCTTTCTTCACTTAGAGTAGACCATTGGTCTAGTTAGGTGGGGTATAAATAAATAAATAAATAAA